AGATAATACTGTGTCAGAATGGTATATATTTACACTTCTCATCCAACCAGGAGACACATTTTATCAGGATAGTATTTTTTTTAAGTAATAACAACTTGGAATAAAATAGGAGTAACAACTTTCTACTTCTTACCTTTTTAAAAAAAGGTAGTGAGTAGAAAGTACAGATAATTGTGTAAAAATGTAATAAGTAAAAGTAAAAATTATGCTGAAAAATAATTACTCAAGTAAAGTACAGATACTTAAGTACAGTAACAAAGTATTTGCACTTAGTTACTTTACAACTTTGATGATATGTCAAAGTTATTTTTTTAATGCCCATTATGTGTGAAATATTTAGGACAAGTCAAATGATTGAAAAAATAAAGTCTGACTGTCATAAGGTCAAAAAAGCAAAGATAAGTATAACAACCACAGAGCTACAATTAATACAGAAAAATAAGGTTAGTTGCCAAATTTTTATTTAAAGTTGGTTTTAGGTAAAGTTTTCCACAATTCCGAGGCAAGGTTCACTTAGGATGTGACAAATGGTAATCAAAGCTGAAAAGTATGTAAATAAGGAGGGAAGAAATTAGTAAAATACCAGGAAAAAAAGATAAATTTTCTTTTTTCCAACAAACATTTTGCCTAAAGTTGGACTTCTCTCTTTTTCCAGTATGACTCATTCCTATTTGAAATACAGCTGCTGCAGCTGAACTTTGTTTGCAGATGAACCTACCAGGTGGTGTCCCCAGAGGCGGTCAGGATCTCAGAATCACTGAGGAAACGGCAGCAGGACAAGTAACCTGAAGGAAACAGAATCATTAACTTCTTGTTTTTTCATCTTCTGGAACTGGAACTTTAAAACAAAAAACCCTGACCTGTGTGTGCGTCCAGCTCCCTGAGGGTCTTGGGGCTGGCAGCCTTGACGTTGTAGACCGTGCAGATGTTATCCAGACCCCCGCTGGCCACCAGGTTAGCGGAGGGGGCGAAGGCAACGCTCATCACCCAGGCCGACTTTAGAGGGACGGCTACCAGCTGAGAGGAGGAAGGTTAGCTGTTATTTTAGATTTTTACTCATCGTTGTGTTGAAAAGAAACAAACTCCAGCTAATCATTTAAGTTTTTTTCTCTTTAGAAACTTGTTTGTTTTTGGTTTTACATCTGCTGCTTGAGATTTACTGAAAGGTTTGGCAGATTTCAGATTAAAATATGTGTAATTTCAGGTAAAAATGAATCATTTTAAGTGTGATCCTACCTTATTCCCAGTAAAAGTGTCCCAGATCAGGAGCTTTCCATCCTGCGATGCACTCACCATTTGCCTTTGAAAGAGATGAAACAAACCTGATGAGGTTTTTAATGTCAGACAGAAAAACGATTTCTGTCCACAAGATGTCAGGAACAGGGGCGCCAGCAGGAGGGGGCCAGGGGGGGCCATGACCCTCCCTGAGAATAAGCTGGCCACCCTAGTGCCC